AGCACAAGTGTTACATCAAAAATGGTGCAAAATGGCCCAATTCGGACACTACCGAATAGGTACTGCATGTAACAGTTTGCAGTAAGTAACAAGGCTTCTTCTATATAGAGCTCCCAAATCCATTTGGGGTGGCCATCAAACTGCATAAAGGACACCAAGGCTTTACACCTTCACCGACGCTTTCAAATGCTCACGATGCGGCGGCCACTTAAGTCAACACCCAGATCGTCAAGTCCATTTTCCCCAGCACTTCTAAGTTAACCACTCACATAATACCGAATCCTTCTATGAAGACGTCTGCTATGGGAACCAACGTTATGCAGCTAGAAAACAACATCAGCATTACTTCAAGAGCATTGTTTAAAATTATCCGTTTCGGTAAATCATTATTATAAAAGATTTAATAGTTACTTAACCCCGAAGTTAGGAGCCTCAAATGAAGTTTGCAGCGATGAGTTAGAATGCAGCTGTACAAAATGCGATACAAGATTCCAAGCATTGTAAAAGTTGCAGCAGAAACATGTCATCTTAGATCAAATGTAACAGTCGAACATAACAGATTAGAAAAGGAAATTAGGGAAACAAAAGAAACTCTGGCGGTAAAAAAGTATACGAAATAAAATGCTTACCCTGCAGAATTTCAAAGGTTTGTTGAGGTTTGTCAAGTTTCACCGCAAGCCGCAAAGCTCTCACGTACTGCTTACCCCTGAGGAGATTTTCCAATTCTTGATGACTAGAAAGGAAAGTCAGGATGAAGAAGACAAATTGCTCGTTACAAAACTGTGAAATAGAAGCAATCTGCTCACGTTTTAACGAACTCTTCAACATTTGCAGCATTCTCTTCAGCATTAATGTCGGTCGTATCCTGCAAAAGAAGCAATATTCATTTATGCCACCACGGCGACCAGCACCCTCAACAATGGTGGATTCAACGACACTAACCTTGAAGAAACAAATAGTGGCATCCTCACCACCTGTGTAGAAGCCAGCATCATCCGAGCAGACTGCGATCGCCCAGACGCGTCCTTGATGTGCTTCCATTACATTGGGCGACGTTTGACCAGGTGATACGCTG